ATTAAATTAATTGCCGACAAAAGCATTTCGTGGAAGGTCGACATGCTACTGAAGAAGCCCAAAGAGATCACAAGTGGAAATAATCGATATAAATTATTTTAAATAAAAAAATTAACAAATTATATTCGTCACTTTATTCTTTCAATCGCTGAAAACGCTTTCGCGAAACCAGATTCAATATTAGTGTTTAAACCCCACAATTGTTCCGTATGTCGTTGTCTGTGTACGCCTAGTGAAACAACGTTTGAGTTGCTTGAGTTGTTTCCACTTCGCTATGCACTATACACCGGACATTGTTATCAATTTTTCTTGCTTTCTTTAACGTTAGATTCAATATTTGGAACCTGTTTAAAGTAATTGATAATTAATAAATAATTCATAGTTAATAATTGATAATTGACGACTTATTGAAGAAAATTCTAAAAGTGACTTAATTAGTTTTATACCGATGTCGTTCGTAGAACAGGGTTAATTCGTACCGTACTATATCAAAACCATATTAAACGAAAATAGAAGAATATAAGCTAAACTTAGGTCATAATTCAAGGCAATATCTACCGTGTTACACCCAAACCAATTCTTAAGGCGTAAAATATAATGATAGCTGAAATTTCGTTCCAAATATGCACGTATGAAATGGAAAGTTAGTTGACTTCAAGTTTTTATAAAACAAAAAATTTGAAATTTTAAATTATGATGGAGTATAAAAACGAAAAGGATCGAATAGGAGCAAAGTCCATCAATACACTATACCGCTACACCACTTTGCTCAGCATAGTAATTCAGATATGCACTTTTCAAGATAAGGTATTGTATAGGAAGTGGTCGAAAATGTGGTCCGATACGAACAGATGTTAATAACGTTCGCCCTTGAGGGAAAACAAGTTAATGAACGAAATTTCATCCAAAAATTTCAAAATAGCGATCAGTAAGTTGAGCATAGAAAAACAAAACGAACAGACGGACAGACAAGCTTGCATAATAAACGGTGTCCGTACAAACGCGATATAACTTTTTACCATATTTGCTGTGGAATATAAAACTAATAATCACGATCAAAAAATTAATTTTCATCATAATTTTCATCGAAAATTATAGCCACGAGATCTTTTCCTTTCTCAGAATGGTTTGACAGTCCTGCTCACAAGTTATTTTTCCATCATTACCAAAGTTATCTGAAGTAGATGCGTTTACTTGCCTATTTCGATCTTAAAATCTGTCAGAATTTCTACATAAAGACCTAAAGAACTGTGTATGTATAAATGTTCTAACTTTTCGCTTAAAGCCATTGGTTCATGCAGATCAGCTAGATTCAAATGATGAAACGATATAAGGCTAAGTTCGATTTCCACGGTAAATCAATATAGCCCTTGCAATAGTAGCTTCCCTGCAATTTAATGATTTTCTAATCCATAAAGGCTTTTCTCCACATTTGCTTGAGATAAAAAGAACAAAACGGATAGTGACATTTGCCATACCGAAAACCAGATATTTCTCTGTGTCAATCTTCCCCTTGGGGATCTTGGGATTCCCCTTCTTGCATGCAAATAGAGGGAAAATCCAACGGAATATGTATATATTCGATTTTTTGAAATCGCGTCATTTCAAACCATGTAATTAAAGTCGCATATTTTGTACCGTGTTACACGAGCGACACCTGTAATTGATCTTTCGTTGAAGCAACAATGTTGCTAATAGTTTTAATTATATGAAATCAATTCTCACATTTACAAAGTATGAAAAACAGACTTCATTTAATGGGGTCAAACGGTGTTAAGTTTATTATAGCTTTGCTTAGTAGAGACTGCATTAAAAATTGAGAATACAAATAGTTTAGATATTCTCGACGCAAAATAAGTTTTTATTGATTATCGACTTAAAAGTTGCGCGCACTATAAAAACGTGAATGAAATGAATGCGAGCAATGCGTTTCTTTCGCGTCGCGTGAACCCACACAATCACAGACAAATGAATCATTTATTCGTTCGTTAAATTGTGAAATTTATCCAAAATTCTCAAAAATTTGAAACGCGTTCAGTCTTTGAATAAATTTCTTCTTCTTTCTTACCATTTAAGGAAAAGACCGTAGGAATATCGCATCAGCTTAACGGAACTAGCGAAAGCGCTAAACCCAATCCCTGCATATGTAACGGGTTGCGGCTGCTTTGTATTCAGCTACATGGAAACGTGGACTATGGTCTATGGACTATGGATTATTTTTAGATTTAAGTGCACAATGGACGATGAATGTTTATGGATTGTATTCGGCTCTAAGCTGAATGTAAAAATTAACTTTCAAAAGAGAAAATTATATGCCTTTAAGGGTGCATCTCTTACGCCCGGCACCTGCGCCCAAACAAAAAAAAAAGGATAGCACCGTAGTGAAGGGTCGAGTAGTCGGCGGTGCATTGTTGATTATAGGCAGAAATTTTTGTCGTTACATGATTGATACAGATTATTAGTAATACGAAGCGGACCTAACAGAGCAATAGAGAAAATGCCTATCACTTTCCGTCTGTCTGTCTCAATTTTTATGACTTTTATTTATTATTATTATTATTATTATTATTATTAATTTCGTCAGAGAAATAAATTCTAAGACTAAACTCTTAAAAGCACTAGCATCTAAGGCCATCGGCTTTTATTAAAAACTCTACCGCACTTGAGATTCGAACCCACGACCATTGACTTGCTAGTCGAGATTCCTCGCCTTCGGCTACTCAGGCGGATGACTTTTATTTAATTTACTTATTTTCAAGCATCAAATTCTTGTTTCGGCCTGATCTGCTTTACACCGTGAGGGCTGAACCCCATACCTGGTGCTGGGGTGAGCTCAGCGCCTCCACGCTTACTTCACAAGAATTTTCTTTGGATGGTTTACTTATTTACCTTTTATGATTTCTATGCAGGTTTTTTTAAAGATTGTTCCTGTCTTTTATTTTATATTTTTTTAAACACCATTTAACAAACTCTATAAGGATTCTTGAGTTCAAAACCGTTTATTTCGTTCCATTAAAATATCTTATTACAATTTTTAAAGTTCAACTTTTCATTCTCGTTGCACTTGATTAGTAAATAACTGAAGATGAGTTTTCTTTGTTCTACTTCAAATATAAATTAATTTTCTTGACTTTAAGACCCAATGCCACCATCATTGTAACCGCACCAACCAGACTAACAAGTCCACTCTCTTTGACTCCTCTATCTTAACTAACTTTCTTTAACTTACTCTAGCACTAAGCACTAGCACTAAAACTTGGCTAAACTTCGGCTGATGCTGATGCTGATTTCTCTTTACTCTGACTTCCCTTTACTTAATCCTATAGTCTAGCACTCCCCCTCAGCAACGAGGCCGAAACGGGGGACGTCTCTGGCTCCTCACGATACTTAATAGACTATAATAAATAACTTAATTTTCCTTTCCTTCAAGCTGATTTCTTAAATAATCTTTTCTAACATAGTTGCTAATAAAATGAAAACCCCGTATGGCCAACCATTCCGGTGCTAATTTCCCAAAAAAAGTCTGAAATTGTTCTTTCTTAGTTTGGAAATTATTATGTGTAAAAAAATGTTACCATTATAGCGTGTGTCCAGTAGCCGGTCGTCTCCAGTGTTTTACCCAATATGAAGACAGCCGAGCGAGTAAACGTGTCTACTGGCGTTCCAAAGTATTTGTTTCGTGAAAGTATATCCGAGAACTGAATAAGTTCCGTTCGAACGAACCATGGTTCAACGCACTGCACATTTATGTTATACTTAAACAATTCGCGTTCCATCGCTAAACTTAACGATCTTACATAACGTTTCGTGGCGCCATACACAGCTGCTAAAGGCGTGGGTATCCAATGTGCGCTTGAAGCTATATTCACTACAGCACCTTTTCCCTGTTTTTTCATTTGCGGTATCACAATGCGGGACATTAGGGTAACCGCGCCCACATTTAGATTAATAATATTCCAAAG